ATAAGAAGCCATGAAGCTTCTACGGTCCTGTTGAAATCCATGGTTTCTTGACCAAGGTTAGTGTGTGGCACCATGTCCATGTTCTTTTCCTTCCCAAAGCAGCTGACCCTGCTGAGACCTGAGAATCCCCTCCACACACATATGGCATCTTTCAGATTGGAGCAAGAGAAAGGAGCCTTAACTTGGAAATAACCTGGCAAGTAATTTGAGAGGAATAAAATGTGAGGCAGGCCACAGATAGGGTCAGAAGGACCAGAAAAGGAGGCCCAGGGCAACAGGGACAGCAACAGTCCTTGAGATGCAGATTACTCACCGGTTGACTCGGACGCTGCCCATGGCTTGCTTTATCATCAGGTGCCGGGGGCGGTAGGAGCTGGGCGAGCTTGGGATCTCATGCAGCAGCACTCATATGGGACAAGGCGAATCTAGGTTTCACCTCTGGTGAGCTGAGGCCTGTGCTGTCATTGCGATCGCTCCTGGGCATGTGCCTTACAAAGAAGTACAGAGGAAAACCCTGTCAAACATCCCCAGAAGGATCTGTCCCAGGCCAGATTGGAGAGTGCACAACTCCCGGCCTTTTTATTTCCGATGGGGAAGGACATAGTGTTTTCTGTGAGACAGCGCACCATGCCCTACCCGCAGCAAGTGAAGAGCTGGCAAACACAGACCTGGTTCATGCACACACTGTGGGAGCCCTCAGTCCCTGCACTCTCCTGCCTGCTGGAGCCCCTTATCTGAGTTGCAGGGCAGGACAGCCACCAATCTCCAGATCAAGGACACAACAGTTGAGCAGCTTGCAAGGCCCCTTCGCTGAACCATATGATATTAATATCATGGCTTGCATTAGGACAAGAGCTCAGCCAGTCTAAATACCTACACACACACACACAAGGACTATTGAAGCACAGACAAACACAGCAGCCTAGTCTGATCCAGAAGACAGTTATTTCCAAGGAGCAGAGAACATCTCCCACATTCTAAAGAAGGAAATAAAAGCAATTCATAGAGCCAAAAAGAAGGACTAATGCAAAGGAAGATCTTAGAAGTAGCCAAGGAGAAGCTAGCTAGAGCAAACAGACCTTGCAACATGTCGTGTATAGAGCAGCCAAGGAGGGTCTCCACGGTAGAGCCCTGGGAGAACGTCCAGCAGGTATTATGTCCTGACCCAGTCCATCCTGAACTAAGAACTAAGAAACCAAAGACGCAAGAGACGACATATCCCGCATGCCCAGGGCTGTTGGGAAAGGAAATGCAGTGAAGGGGTGATGACTCACAGATTAGGAAAGGCTTTGTATACCCATGCTAATCCCACATTGTATCCTCTGGATTACAGCAGCCAATATAGAGCACAGAATGCAGACACAGCCAGCTCATTTGCTCGCTTCCAGCCTCACCAACAAGCAACCAGTGGCTGCCAAAAACAGTGGTTTTGGTCAAATCCAATGATTTCTAGGTCAAATGCAAGGTCTGGAACTCCTTGCAAGTGCTTGTGCCTGGACAGGAGAAAGGAACAGCAGGTGACATTGTCAAGGCTGAAGAAGTCGAAAAGAGAACCATCGTTGTCTCATAATCACTGTTGCAGAACAGAGCTTCATGTGGCTACAGGTGATCACCACTTTCCCTAAATTAGAAACAGAGAAGCAAGGGAACAAGTAGGGAGTTGCAGACAACACCTCCAACATACAAGCACTGCTGTTGTCATGTCTAGGATGAAGTTTAACCAGCAGTCTCTCCTCCAGAGAGCAAGATTATTGGGACAATTTAAGACCTGTGGCAAATCAACTGTGGTTGTTTAGACCAGGGACACTATGGAATCATGAGGAGGCAGCAACATTGCAAGTTACAACTCACCAGCTTCAGGTTAAAAAAAAAAGGAAAATATTTCAGGTTAAAAAAAAAAAGTGAGCAACTGCCCAAAAATTCCCATCAGAAAAAAAAAAAAAAAACACATCCAAGCGAAAACAGCTGTACGAAGCTCTGTCAACACCAGCTCCCTCACCACCCAACAGCATCCAAATCTTTAAGAAGAGTCAGTGCAGACAGGTGTAAGAAATACTGTTATGCAGCTGGACAACCTACAGCAGAATTGAGGTCAGTAAGTAAAAATTCATCGGCAGAGTCGAGGGATGTCTAGGTAATGAAGAAAAGTCACTTTGTACACAGAGACGGCCCTACTAGGATTAAGCTAATATATGTCTTCAATGATACCATGGGGAATATAGACCGCAAGATCCTGCCCTTGTTTCACTTTAGTAAGTGACAAAAACCAGGTAATTCAAGTGCACTTCTTTATGTCAGCACCAGGCAGGAGAGGAAGGGCATCCTCTCCAACCAGTGTCATCCATCCTTAGCCAGCCTTGATAAGTCTGATGCACCTTTAGCCATCTTGGACACTGATATCAGAGGAAAGAAAACATCACAACTCACATCTGGATTAGACACAGTTTCCTAAAAGTTCCTGAACAAACTTGCCCCCTCCCTGGCTGCAGGAATGGAAGCAGAAGTTCCAAAGAGGCTTCAGACTTAAGGGCTGGACAGTTGCTTTCTCCAAAAAAAGTGGAAAGAGGATTTAAAGAACTGCTCATTGTAATTGTGTGCAAGAGCAGCCAGATGTCTGCTCCTTACCTTGCCCAGATCGATAGAAAGGGGCAAAGCAAATAGATGAAATGCAGGTACAGCAAACAGATGAAATGCCTGTGTAGCAAGAGCTTTGATCATCTTTTACATCAGCTAGTACCACTAAGCTAGGGGATGTGCACACTGTTAAAGAATAATACCCCGTGTATTGGATATAATAAATCTCCTGTGTCCCAAAAAAGAACTCAGGTCAATTCAGCCAAAACCTTTTCATGGACTCATGCACAGAACCGTCTGTAGACTGGGTCTTGTAGCCCAAAGTTAAGACACATTTAGGCAGGAGGAGAGGGAGAAATTTCTAGTGCTGCAATGCCAGAATAGAGCATCAGCAGCTAAAACTATATCAGTACCTGAAATTTATATTTAATCACAAAAAAAATGTACTTCTACGAAGGACAAACATTGCCTATTCACACACACACTCCAGCATGTGAAAGCAAGTTTTTAGTACAGGCTGTTGTGGGAGACTTGTTGTCTCAGTCCGTACACTCATCCATAGGAGTAGCAGAGAGTTTAGTTCATAGACCATCTTCTGCTTCTGCTTCAACTTCGGAAATCTTGCCTGTAGATTTGAGGAGTTCAGCAACAAAATGCAGCAATTCTGCTCCAGAGACCAGCTGTCTGATGGACCAGTTTGCACCACTTACTATCCTGTGGAGATTCTGCAGGGCGATGTCTATGTTTTGCTTCATTGCCCCTAGATCAGTAGTTTGGCCAGCTCTCAGGTTTTCATTCTCTGCCTTGAAATTCTCCAGCTCTCCCTGGAGAAGAAACATCTCTCGCTTCAGCTTTTCCACATTATTTTCTGCCTCCAGAGCCCTTTGGGTCATCAGCTGGAGACTGCGTTCAGTCTGCTGGACAAGGGACTCTAACCCTTGGGCTTCTCTCTCCTCTTTGACCATATTGGCTTTCAAGCGTCTCTCTAGGCTCCTCACTGTTCGTGCTTGGCTTTCTGAGAAGCTCTGCATGCTCCTGATCTTCCACCTGAGCATACAGTTCTCCTCCCTGAGCTCTTCATAGGTCAGCTGCAGGGAAGGGAACTCCCTGTCCCCGATGGACTCTTCATGGAGAGCGTGGGGTTCTGCTCCCCTGGTGTGATCTGGGTATGCAAGGTAAGGGTCGCTGGCATGGACCCATGGGGTATAGGCTTCCATCTCCAAGTGCTTTCCTAGGTTATGTTGGAAAGAGTCATAGGAGCCGGATGGTGCCATATTGGTGACCCTGGTCCCATGTGATCTTTCATAAACAGGAAGGTGATAAGTTCTGGTCCAGCTATTGTCTTCATC